CCCAGGCTGGCCCCAAACTCACAGTGATCCTCCTGCCTCAATCTCCTGAGTGCTAGGATTACAGGCTTGTGCCACCATGCCTGGCTCCTTTCCTGTATTTTGTACTCACTGGTCCTTATTTTACTTTTTTAATGCATTTTAGCACAGGGTCTCATAAGCCATACTTCCCAAGCCCCACGAATCAGAATCTCTAGAGGAGGAAACTGGAGAACTACTTTTCCATGTTTCCTTTTCATTTAAAAAAATTTCAAATTTATAAAATGCTGCAAAATAAAAATAGTATAAAGATGACACAGTCCTTTATTTAGATTCACCTAACGTTAGTATTGTACCCCATGTGCTTTGCCATTTTTCCTGTTTCTCCAACACACATAAGCACGCACTCCCAGCGGTTTGAGGAACCCCACGAGGATATACTACACGCTATGTTTTCCACCCCTGAATGTCTCACCGTGTATGTCCTAAAACCAGGAATAACCACAGAATAGCTAGTAGCTTCCTAAAGTCATACGATCACGTATTTTAACTAATCTACTTGCACATTTCAGTTCTGTCAGTCTCTCTGCGAGTTTCGCTCAGCCACTCTAGGCTGCAGTCTAGGCCAGGACACTGATGGCATGTTGCTAGCCTGTCTCTTTACCCTCTTAATCTGGGACATCTTCCACAGCCATTTGTGTCTCTTACTTTCTTAGCACGATGCTCTCACTCAGTGTCTCAATGTCTCCTCACAGCTAGCACCCTGCACAAGTGAGGCTGGGCCCGCCCCCAGGTACTCTATCAGGAGGCCCACAACGTCCGTCTGTCCCGTAGGGACACCCAGGACGGGGTAGCTGGGCTTCTGTACATAATTACTATTTCTCTTTCTTAAGCTGATGAAGATCTGTGAGGACACATTGTAAGATCATGCAAATACCCGGCCCCTCGATAATTTAGCGTCCACTGTAAGTCATGCTGTCTTCTCTTATGTAATCCTACAATGATGGTTATAAATTGATTTTCCAAGCCCAACGTTCCTTCCAGTTAGTCTTCAGCATTCTACTGTAAGCAAGGGCTTCCTTTCTCTTATTTACTTATTTTTATTTTTTAGTACCAGGAATTGAACTCAGGATCTTGTGCTTGCCAGGCAGGTGCTTGTGCCACTGAGCTATATAGCCCCAGCCCTATTTATTTACCTACTGATAATTCATATGAATATAATATTTAGATGATTTATAATCCATTATCATATTATCCTTATGATAAGTATATAGTGAAAGTCCTAATACATTCTTTATAGCAATTCCTAACAATTACCTAGTTATTTTGGGGTTACTGTGAACCAAACATGAAGCTAACATGTCCCAAAGAGGCCTCTTTGTTAGCTAGAATTAGGTTCAGAATAGCTTTTTCGGGGGCGGGGGGGGGGCCCCGGCGGCTCCAGGAATTGAACTCAGGACCTCGTGCTTGCCAGGCAGGTGCTGTGCCACTGAGCTAAATCCCTGACCCCAAGGTCTGGCATAATTATTCTCCGGTAACTTCTCTTACCCTTTGAGACATAAGTATCAGCAAGACAAGTACAGAATATAGTGAAGTCACTGCTCACTTCTGGGTGCCTAGGAGGTTAATGTCTTTATTTCAAACCTAGACCAGCTTTGTGTGCTGTGGAGAATATGCTAGCTCTTCCGTGTGGCTGGAGGGCACCGTGTACCCCTTCTGCAAGAGCATTTCTTGGCTTCTGTTTTACATCATGTTCAAGGTCTCCGAATGTCCTCTAAACAGTGGATAACAGAACTCCACCAGGTGTGCCTTGCCTCTTCACCTGGGCTATTTTTCTTTTTCTTCTAACAAGTTTCTACAGGGTGGAAGAAATAATGGCATTTGAAGTGTGTATGGGCAGCTGCATCTGGATATCAGCTGGCAAATGCATAATAGACGTGTTCTGGAACGCTGAAGGGTCTGTGTCAGAGACAATGTTTACAGCAGAATACAAAATGATGCGGCACGGAAGAACTGGACATATTTTTCTTCCCCTTTTCTCACTGTCACCAATCAGATTAAAGCAAACCTTGCAAAGTACTGGCACAGAAAAATTGGCAAAAACTCCAGTGAGACGGCAACCAGGAAGGTTTCTATGGTAACCAACCAACCAAGCGCATTTCTGTCCATAGGTAGAAGATGTGCTGAATGCTATTAAGGGAGGACTCTGAACAAACAAAATGAGAAATGAATTTCTTTGAGCACTGCAGAACAGCTCTGCTGGAAAGACTTATCCATCCTATGAAACAGCAATAATCCTTGCTTCTAATAAGGAATCTCAACTGGATTTATTTATTCTGCAGCACTAGGGACTGAATTCAGGGCCATTACACTTAGCTACTGAGCTTTTAAAAGAAGCTTTCATTTTGAAACAGGCTCTTGTTAAGTTACTAGGTCACCAGGGCTGGGCTCAAACTTGTGATGTTCCAGCCTCAGTCCCTCAGAGTGCTGGACTCCAGGTACATGCCAACGTGTCTGGCAAAACCTCTATTTAGAAGGATGAAAGCTAGTTTATATAATTTTTTATTGCTGTTGTTGACTAATGTTTGAATTGTTAGCACATTTTGCCAATACTATGTACAACACCTCAAATTAATCCACACCTAATATATAAACCTTGAATGAGACAAAGTCCTCAATCTTATCAAAAACAGGAAACTCATATCCATCAACAATGAAGAGCTTGGAAAAGGATTCTACTGAGGATGGTATAGGCCCCAGTGAACAAAGAAGTACTGTAACTCGTTCAGTGGGCTGAACAATTTTCTGACATTTGGAAAGCAGTTCTGAATTTTTCCAGCTGCTTGAAGGGATAAGGGACGCCTTTGAGCCTTGCCATTCTGATGTTGAAACTAAAGAGAAGGTGTAACTTGCAGAGGCTTTGACTGCAATGGCAAATGTTTTAAACATTTTCTTCTGGTCCAAGTCCTTCCCAGTTACCAGGGTAAATTCTGACTCACGGACACAACTCTGGTCCAAATGCTACCCGGCACTCTGAAGGTCGAGCCCACACATCACACAACTTCTGAGCCCCACCCCCAGCCCCTACTCCTGCGAGTCTTCATCCCGGCTCTGCTCACTGCTCCCTCCCTGCCCCCACTCTGGAGCCCTGAGCACCTTCCTTTCTTCCTCTCGGCCCCTGCACAGAACTGTCTCTTCTTCTGTCTGCCTGCTCTGAAAATGGGTGCGACTTCTCTCTGAGCAAGGCACTCCCAGCTGACCTCTCTTCCTGTGTGTTCCTGCAGGCACCCTGACCATGTTCCTGCCTCAGAGAGCTGACTAGGACCTTTTTCTTTTAACGTCCTACATTCCCTCTCTGGACGATTTCATTTCAGAACAATGACATTAAAAAAACCCCAAAACTATGACCGTTACATAATCTTGAAAGCATATATGTTAAATTCTATTGCCAGGGTCCATTCTATTCTAAGTTTCCTGAAGTCAGAAATATTTTTAGATTAAAACACACTGATAAAACAAAACTCCCACAGAAACATCAAACATTTCCTTTCCCTACGAAAGCAGAGGCGTCTGCAGACAGCAGCTGGCCTACTTCTTTCCTGGAGCGCCTATCAGGATTCAGCAACTACAGTGACAGTAGCTGTAGTAACTGCTCCTGAGGACGGACGGCTACTTGCCAACAGTTAATGGAAGCCAAACCACAAGTAATTCTCACAAGACCCCTACTGCAAGGTTGTAACTGTCAGAATCCAATATCCATTCTGCAGGTGTAGAAGTCACAAAAAGTAATGTCACAGTGGGACTGGAACCCAGCAGTCAGTGCCACCGTTTGTATGTAATTTGCATTATATGTAATTCTTATTGCATAGCTTTTAGAAAAAAAATGGAGTAATTACCATTAAGGATAAATACAAACATAAATTTACCTTAAATATTATCACAATAAGCCTAAAATAGTTTTTTAAAGGGGTTAAGGACAATCTAAAAAATGTCCATGGATTTCTTTTCCTCACGCATGCTTCACAAAGGTGCATATATGTTCTGTAGCACACTTTAACTGTCTTGAGGGCAGGAACTGCTGGCTTACTGCAGTTTTCTTACACATAATAGATTCAGTGAACATGTAAACGATTTCCTTACTTTGGAACACATTTCACCAGCTGATCTGGGTATACACTGCCAGACCTTACCTCATTCCTTGTAACAGAATTTTGCCAAAGCAGTTGATTTTACTGCCATCCACCCGGAGCAATTCTTTCTGCTGCTCCACTAATGGGAGGGGGGGTGTTTACAGTAACTGGCCTGGGGGCAGCCAGCATGTGACGCGGAGCAGGTGCTTGCTGCACTGACTACACGGAGGCCCAGGGAAGGACAGCGCCTGCCCAGCGGCCCCCAACGAGGCTGTGCTATGGATGCCCCATGGTAGCAGGTCACTGCACTCCTGAGTCAGTGTCTTCCCTCCTTGCACCAGGACACTAAGGGCACCTCCTCCGTAGGGTTTTGGTGAGGACCGAACAAGCTAATGCACGCCAGGCACCCAGGGAATGCCACTCCTGGTACACAGCTCCTTCTGGCATGATGGGAAGCACCTGGGGAGGGGATCCTCCCACCCACCCTGACCCTCATGTTCTCTGCGTGATGACCTGCGACACTACTTGGGAGCACTCTGTGAATCTGCAGAAGCAAGGCAGTAAGAGTCTGCCACTTACAGCAAAACCAAGGAAAATCCTAAGTGTCTGAAGCTTTTGGTGAGGATAAAATGACGCAATTAATGGGATTTATAAAACTGACATCTTTCAAAGAATTATTTTCTAACCAATACCCCACTTATGAGAATATCCATTTTATTAAAGATCCCAATGTCCAGTCTGATTTCAAATTCGCTCTTAAATATAGGCTACTTATACATCCTAACAGAGTCCTGTAACTTCTCTTCTACTTTATTTTATTTTTTGCAGTGCTGGGGATCAAACTCAGGACCTTGCGCTTGCCAGGCAGGTGCTTATGCTGCTGAGCTATATTCCTAGCTTCTGGTCTACTTTTAAAAAAAGAACATAAAATTTATAATTCAGAAAATTTGTATGCTATCCCCCTAAAGCGTACCTCTCAGGAACAAGATCACCATGCTACTTACCTCATCTCTGTACAGCGGGCTGGTATAATACATTATGTCCATTGCACTGCTGTTCAGCATATCCCTTAAACCACGTACTTTGTCAGGAGTAATGGAATCAACGGTGTCTACAAAACCAAAACCAAACCCAATTAAATTTACTTAAGATCTTTATTTTGGGCACTGTGAGAAAAACTGTATTTCCTAAAATAATTTAACATTTAAACGTTCAAGGCCAGCTTTGGCTCTAATGGACCTTCTCTTCTCACAAAGTATTGCAAGAAAAAGAGTGAAAGACAAGGGGAAAAGAAAGGAACATTAAGGCACAGACGAAGTCTATTGCTTTTTTTCAGATTTATGGATACTGGGCCTAGCAACATTCACGTGGAGCCTGGTATCACTAAAAGCAAGCCAGCAACAAATTAAAACTGAACGATAAATGAGAGCTGTTCTACGAATACTTGAAAGGAGGCAGGAGAAGGCTCATAATTTCAATCAACTGCAAGTTTTTTAATCCTCCAAGTTTTCACTCCACTGGTCTAGGTTATTTTATTTTCCACTTTAATACAGTAAGAGCTGGCAGGCAAGGACAAGAAGAGGAGTCTTCAAAGATATAAAGAAACTATTCTAGCTAGCCACAGGCCATACTACGTGCTTCACAATACACTGTGTGCGTTTTGCTGCTCTTTTCTCTGGCCTTTGATGGTTCTGTGTGTTGCTTTGTTGCAACATTTTCCTCAAGTATGATTTGCCTTCCATTTCTTTGTGGTTTATGATCTACTGATAAAGAGGTCGTTCTGTTTTGTCGTGGTATTGGGGATGGAACTCAGGGTCTTACTCATGCTAGGCCAGTGCTCTACCATTGAGTCACACCCTTCCCGCGCCCTGTTCTATTTTGAGAGAGGGCCTTGCTCAACTGCCCAGGCCAAGTTTGAACTTGGGATCCTGCTACCCCAGCCTCTGAGGCGGCAGAGATTATAGGCATGCTCCACCATGCCTGACTGAGGGCCTTCATTTAGATCCAATCGAAGTTATCCACTTTACTCTGCAATTAGGTTTTGATGTTTTAAGATATCTTCCCCTACTCGGAGATCATAAACATGAATGCTTGAATATTTTCTCTCCAATGTTTTGGTCTTTTCTTTATATCTTATGTCTTTAATACAGTTGGTACTTCAAGTAGGGACTAATTTTCACCTTTTTCCCCATAGCGCTGTCATTTAACAAGTGTAGAATAATCTCAAACAAACAGCACACCCCAAGACAGTGAAACGGACGACATACTATTCCTACTGGGTAAACATTTTTCTAAAATTTTCTACATTTACATTGGAAAAAGGCTGCTATTGGCTAAATCATTCCACTTTAAAACAAAATATACCTCCATCAAGAGTAAGTTTTGACCTCCATTCAACAGGGAGAAATTCAACATGTGTTGCATGGTTGGAAAAATGCCTTTCTTCTATTTTTCTTGCAGCCTCTCTCATCCTAAAAAATAAAATAAATAAATTAAAGCAACTCCCACAAAAACAAAACAAAAAACACCCAGTAGCTTCACATATATAATAATATTTTCATTTGTCTACAACTTTGTCCACAGTTATATTTCAAGTACTGCTATACTAAGTAAGTCTGCAACACGGGGAAATGTTCAAAGTCATTTTCCTGAGTCCCCCATCAATAATTCCAAATGTTCCAAGCTTTTACACTATTAATAATTATAAATGTACACAGAACAGGGTAATGAGTATCTAGATGCCAAGACCCAGCTCTAAATACTATATTACTCATCATCGCCTCTTCTTTTATTTATTCCTCTACTCCTTCTCCTAATAATACGGATTTTAAAATTTTATTTTCAGAATTAAGGTATCACTGAATTTATTTTTTTCTTTTAGTGTCAGTTTTATGAATTTCAGCCTATGTACAGGCTTGTGATTAGCACTATGCAATCAAGACACCGAGCAGTTCATTCTGAAAAACTCATGTTTTGCTTTTAACAGTCACAGCATTACTGAATGATTCAAAGCAAATCCAAGACATCACGTAATTTTACCTGTAAACTGTATATACCGTATTTCTAAAATATATTCTAGTCAATATTATTGTATCAAAGGACAATACCTTTAAATTTCTGAAAATTTTTATACTTATGTTCCAAATACAGACCATGCACAGCAGGTCTCAGATATTTCTTAACTGTCTTCGAATCTTTAGATTTTTTTTCTCTACAATTTTTTAAAGTTGTTTTTTTGCTTTCTCTATAGATTTTCTCAGAGTCTGGTTTCTGCTGGCTGAATCCTTACAGTGTTACCTGACATACTCTTTGCCCCATGTTTTCTGTCAGTTGGTAGCAAAACACACACACTCATCCTACTTAAGTTCTATTCTGGTAGAATGTACAGCATCAGACATCCGGCTTTCTCTCTTTTAACTGATACTGTAGTTACTGCTTAGATCATGGCTATAAGACATACCTTTTAAAATCTCATTACTCCTTATGTGTTTAAAATTATCTACCTCTGGACATAGGCATTTCGTTATGTCAAATATGTGGCCGCTGTGGGACACGGTTCTGTAATATCTGAGATACAATTCATTAAAAGGCAGGGTAATTTTAACTCTTCCCTTTTACTACCAGTTTTCAAAACAGTTACTATTAGTTTTTGTAACTTTTGAGCATGGAGTGGCCTGTTCGAAGTTACTATCATGAAGCACCTGGAACAGGGTACTCTGGGTCTGGAGATCAAAGTCCAGGGGCTGACGTGAGCAGCACACGAGGAGGGAGTATGAACTTCACAAGTCTGGTATCTCACCCTCTTCTTGCAAAGCCACTGGGATTCAATTGTGGAGCTGCACCCTCTATACCCAATCTAATCCTAACTGCCCCCCAAAGGCACCACCCCTGAATACCATACTGGATTACGTTTCCACCCTCACAATGACTTACAATTGGAGTTAAATTTCAACAGAGGCCTTGGTGATCTGGTTACACAAAAGATACCTAATCCACAGAAGATGTCTTATAACTTGAAATTTATCTAAACACTGGCAGTGATTCAATCTGTTTTGTTCTCCCCGCTAATGCTCAGAGTGTCTCCAATTTTTGGTCTGTAAGTTGCCTTAAACTAGCTTCATGGTGCTTTTGACACAACCTTACTAGTTGTGTTTTTCAATATTTCACTGCCTTTTAGTACATTCACAGAGGTGCACAATCTTTACTATGCTATCATTCCAAATTCAAATGTTATATTTAGCATATTTCTTTTAGTCTTTGCCAACCATGGCAAAGGATTCTGATTTGAGGATTTGCCTATTCTGGACATTTCATACAAATGGAATAATGTAACTTGTGGCCCTGTGTGTGTGGGCTTTCGTTTAGCATGTTTGCAAGGCTGATCCATGCAGTATCATGAATCAGTACTTTACTGTTTTTATGGTTGAATACTATTTCACCTTAAAAGTATACTACTTTTCTTCATTTATCAGTTGATGAACACTTGATTTGCTTCCTTTTTTTTTTTTGGCTATGACCCTAGTAATGCTACTGGGAACATTCTTTAACAAGTTTTTATGTGGCCATGTGTTTTTTTTTTTTGCAGAACCGGGATTGAATTCAGGCCCTTGTGCTTGCTAGGCAAGTACTTATTCCATTGAGCCATCTCCCCGGCCCCATTCCTTAGTTTTTTACTCTTTGTGATATTATAGTAATTTCATTTTCAAATTGTTCATTGCTAATATATAAATACAACTGATTTTTTTGGTACTGGAGATTGAACTCAGGACCTTGTGCTTGCCAGGCAGATGTTCACACTGCTGAGCTATGTCCTTGGCCCTACAACTGATTTTTGATTTTTGTACGGTGACATTTTATCCTGCAACTTGATTAAATTATTAGTCCTCACATTATCTGTCTGTCTACCTATCTTCCTTAGGATTCTCTATATGTAAGATCATGTTATCTACAAGAAGAAATAGTTTTACTTCTTTCCAACCTGAATGCCTTTTCTTTTTCTTGCATAACCGCCTTGGCTCACATACAAAGTACAATGCTGGACAGAAGTGGTGGGAGGGGACATCCTTGTCTTGTTCTTGATCTTTGGAAAAAGGCTTTGGTCTTTCACCATTAAAGTGTGATTTTTAGCTGGTGGCCTTTTGTAGAATTCCTTTAACAGGCTGAGACAGTTCCTTTCTGTTTCCACCTTTCTGACTTTTTATTATGAAATGGTGGTGTATTTTTTAAAATGCTTTTTCCTGTATTAAAACTCACACAATGCATTTTTCCTTTATCTTATTAATTAATATATACTAGTTTTAGTAAGGCAAATTTAGGGACATAGCCACAACATATCCATCTTTCTCTCCCAACTCTCCATCTTTGCCTCATTCCCTGTCTTTGTATTATATATACATTTTGTTTTCCCCTTAGGAAGTCACTCCAGCTAACTTGGTATTTTTTGGATAAATCCCACTTATGCATGTTGCTGGATTTAGTAACTGGTGTTCTGCGTCTGTAACAGACACTAATCTCTTCCTCCTTCTTTAAATACTTTTTCAGTATTAGGCTAATACTGGTACACAGAATGAGTTGGAAAATCTCCTAAATCTGGAGAGTTTGTAAAGAATTAAATGCTAATTTTGAAATTTTTTAAGTGTACTTAGTGCACGGTCTACAGGGTCTCTAGGGTCTCACTATGCAGATTGGATTCAGTGATTCTCCTGCTTTCAGCCTCCCAAGTGCAAGAATTACAGGTGTAATTCACCCGAGTAGTCATCTGGTTTTGGACATTTTTAGTGGATTGTTTTTAGTATTAATTCAAATGCTTTAGTTTTTATAGTTCTAGTTGGATTTTTCTACGTCTTCAAACTCAGTGCCAAATCAATCAATTGTGGTAGTCTCTGTAATTTCTAAGAATTTGTCCCCTTAAATTATTTAGTTCATTACCAGAGAACTGTGCATAATACTACCTTCTAATCCATCTTATTTCTGTAAAGTTGGTAGCTAACAGTTGTGTCCCCCTTTTATTCTTAATTTTAATAACTTTGGTATGTTTTTATCTTCTTGGTTAATTTAGCTGAGGATTCCTTAATTTTGTAAATATTTTCAAAAAACCACTGTAATACGTAAGAGATTTTCCTCATTGTTTTACAACTGATAATACTCCTTCATACAGGTAACAGTAATATAATAAAGATGGTAAGATTTATCTTTTAAATATTTAGGTCTTGACTGCACAAGAAATAGACAAATGAGGACAGAGAAAAATGAGAACATGAAGTAATTTAAAATATATTATACTCTGGTTTCTCTTCAGATCATATATATCTTTCACTTTTTAAAAAATATTATAAGACAACTCTAAAACAAATCACTGTGCTGGCATAATATGAAGTGAATAAAAATCATGATTTTAGTCATGATAAGCTTATTTTACCTTCTGTGTTCTCTTGCCAGGCCATGAATACTTTATATTTTGAAAAGGAAAAGAAGAGATTAATAGCACCAGAGAAGTATTGTCTAACTAAGGAGAGATAAATGGCTCCGGAAAAAAAATAAGTCTATGTGATGTATATTGTACAATACTCAGAAGGAAAACAGAAAATTGTGAAAAATAATCTTCCACGGTATGTGCATTTTTTTTTGGTATGTGCATTTTTAAACAAAAGTCAAGGTCTGTAAGTTTATAGCCTACCACCTTTTATGTGAAAAAATTTGTATATTCTTAAATAAAATATGGAAGAATTTAAACTGCAATACAAGGAGGAAGGGTATTGGGGAAGACACAGAAAGGAGCACCAGCCATGCTATGTACTTTTGACTTTTGATTTGCAAACTATGTGTATTTCCTATTTGAAAGTTTTGTTGACATTCTTGTCTGTTACTGTTTTTCTTCCATCTTTTCTTAGTACTTAGGGGGTCTATGTTTTTTATTTTTAAAATTCCTTCGCTAGTATTTTTAGTGAAGTTTCAGGAGGGTATAAGATAACTTACAAACTCAACCAATCATGTTTAACTGATAATTCCCTTCACACTGTTCTAAAACTACAGCTTTAAGTGACTAATTTAGGGCTCTAGATATATAGCTTTAGTGAAGACTTCTCTTATAATAAAACCCTATTAAATATAATTCCAATTATATTTAAAACACATTTATCCCTTCTGGTGAACCAATTCTGACATTTCTAGAAATTGTCTATAAACTTTCTTCTCAACTTATACAGATAATAGAAATGATAAAACTAGTCTGAATTTATTACAGGTTCACTAAAGCACTGAGGGAAGACTGCAGTACACGCAGCTGAGACATAAGAGAACCAAGGCCACCGAAGGAGCGGAGCACAGCGACCCTTAGGCCACCTGGAATTTCACACATCACCTCACAAGAACAAATGAGCTTCACAATTGCAGGGATAAAGACGAAGTTAATTTCATTTTCTTTAAAGGCTTGTATGAAAATTTTCCATCGATTTCTAAGTTATAGAAGATTTCCTACTAAATTTACCTGCCTTTGAAGAAATGGTAATAATTCTCCTTGAAGTGTAACATTTTTGACCCATTTTAGGTTCGTGCATCTCACTTCCAACACAGGTCTTGATTTTTATCTGTGGCTTTACCTCTCCTTACGGTTGTGACGATGTCAGCTGACACCTGACTTCCAGGTGGGACTACGAGAACTGGTTGATCAGACTCTGCCTGGCCACAAGTATGGACTTCAAGTACTTGCATGCAACACTCTCGGTCACTGGGAGGCAACTACCGGGGCATTTGGGAAGACTTTTTCTTTCCTTTGAACGCAAACGAAGATGCTATCGACCGCATCTGGACCCACAGGTTCCATCTGGGGGCTCCAGCCTGAAGGAGGGTACAGCTGACAGGACTGTGACGACAGTATCACCCCAGGGCTGCTCAGTAGGAGGAGTCACCAATCTGCCTTTTGGCTTAAGACTTTTTGTGTTCAGTTTTCCCCTCTTTGCATCCAAAGGACAAACTGACATCTCGTCATGTGTCAGGAGACTACGCCAGCAAATGCACTTCTCAAGGTCATTTATATCTAAGCAAATGATCTGCGTCTTGAAGTCTGGGAATTACTACCAGAGCTAATAAACAGCTTACCAGAAAATAAGGATCTGAGGAAAGAGACTCCTATAATAGGAGCTATGGGGATTGAAAAGGGTAATCTTGTAATATCTAACAATTTTTAAACGTTTTTAAAAATCCATCAGGAGGTACGATGATGTTACAGTAAAGAGTGAAATAAAACTGAACATCGTATTATTATCCAGATGGTGCTGGGGACACACATTATTTGCTTTATAAGGACTCAAGAGACATTTACTTGAAGGCTCAGAATCAGATGAACTGTTCAACGGTTGATTTTTTTTTTTTTAAATACTTTATTATTTATTTATTTACTTATTTATTTATTTATTTTGTGTGTGTGTGTGTGTGGCCAGTTCAGCCCACCAGGGGGCGGGGCTGGCTGGCATGTAGTGCTGGGGGATTGAACCGTGGTCCCTGTGTTTTGCTTAGTTTAGCTTGTTCTAAGTAGGTGCTTTAGACCACAGAGCCATCTCACCAGCCCCAACGGTTGATTTTTTTTAAAACAATCTTTTATTTATGTATTTGGCACACGGTCTCGCTGCGCAGCTTGGACTCCTGTGTCAGTCTCCCCAGCACTGTGATTACAGGCGTGCACCACCACGCCCAGCATGGCATGTGGTACCGGGGATCGAACTTGGGTCCTTGCACTTCCCAGGCAGGCACTTACGCTGCTGAGCTATCTCCCCAGCCTGCATCATAGGTCTGTACCTGATGAGATCTGTCTGCATTCTGGCTATTAGCGCTTAGCTGAATTTGTGATGGACCTTTTTACTCTAACATTCCCTTTAGTGTAGAACTGAATATTTTTGAAATATCCATCTGTCCATCCATCTATCCGTTCATCCATCTATCATCTCTCAGTACTTAAAAGAGGTTTCAGCATCAAGCTGAACATAAATTAACCAGTGAGCTAAAAACCTGCCTGGTGTTCCACTGTTTTCTGCACAAAACTTGAGAGTTCAGTTTTCTCTGGTAGCAATTAGTTGCACAGGTTAAGCTCTTAACTGACAGTTTAAACAATTCTTAGCTTTTATACTTGTGCAACTTGGATTCTCAGTTTCTGAAATTCAGAGCATAAAATACCAACTTGAAACTGCATCTTTTCCTTGCTTTCAGTCCTAGATTAACTTGGCACATGGCGTTCAGAAAGGCTTTCTGGTCAGCCTTTCTGCTGCGCAGGCGCTGGTGGTGCTGGGGTGCTGGATCACCATCCAGACAGAATCACCCTTCAGATGGGTCCAGAAACCCGACTGGCTGAGGAGAACTGGCACCGGAGAGACAGCAGCGGAACAGCACACTCTGCCAGTCGCTCTCATCACCTGGACACAAGTGCAAGTTTCAGGCTAGATGCAGAATGTACTCATCAAAGAACTCACATGGCTGTGTTTTTGATAATTCTTCCTTGGTCCATTTTCTGCCCAATGCCGTGCACAACAAACACAATGTGGGTTGTCTGCAAAGGCTTGTCTTCTAACGTGGCTTCTTCTACGTAACCTCTATGAAGTCTGGTCCCACTACTTGATGCTGTGGAAAATTAGGATCCCAAGTTTACTATTGATTTGGAGAAGTAGCACTTTCACAATATGCTTTTTAAAAAGTAGTAATAGGAAGATAAAGAACAAATTCACTTGGGCTAGAGAGGAGGAAATAAAAATTTTAAATCTCTATATCTCTGTATAGAGATATAGAGATATATATGATTGGGCAATAAAAAGAGAACTGGAGGTAAGAGCAAGGCCAGATACTACTAGGAAGAAAAAGGACAAACAATACATAAAAATTTAAGATGTCTCTTTACAAAAATACCAACAAATAAAAATAAAACAAGTAGCAAATTGAGAAAAATTATTTAAAATATACAAAAAGAGCTTACTATGCAAAAAGTAAAAAGACACCTATTCAAACAGCAAAATGGGCTAAAGATGAGGCAAAGCAATTCACAAAATATTCAACTACTAACAAGATAGTTCAACTTCTACAACTACTAATCTGCAGAGATACAAGCATATTCATTGTAACAAATTAAAATAAAAATGGGATTAAATTTTATCAGACAACTAACGTCATTTTTGACCATGCTCTCCCGCCTTCCCTGAGGTCCCCTCGCCTGTCTTTCAGGAAGCCTCCTCGGAGCAGCCTGCTCACTGCCTTCATTTCCTCACCTTCTAGTTATGCTTCAGCCCATCCCAATCTGGCTTCTGCTCCACCAGTTCAAGTCACCACTGACCCTCCTGTCACTAAATACAATGGAGAAATTTCAGTCTTTATCTTCCTCGATATGAAATTTTGATAGCTGTGCTTTATCTTTATTGCCTCAGCACTGAGTGCTCTTATGCTTCTATAAGTATAAAAGATACTTATGATTCCCAGTTCCAGAAAAAGAAAAGAAAAATACTCATGAATCTTACCAGATCATTCTGTATATTCATGGATGAACACATGTCAGCTTAATTACCTTAATATAAGTTTCATTTAATAGTTGCTAAAACCTAATTAACATACAGTAAAATTGAATTTCAAGTGTCTATTTTGGATGTAAGAAAAAAAGTGCCCCAATTTTGATCAAACTTAGTAATATTTAATAATTACCTTTAGAAAATCCCAATTTTTGGGTAACTGTTCTTGCAATCTTAGAAGTTGTTGCATCGCTATAAAGATACACCTCATCCACACTGTGCCAGTCCACGTGGTTTCGACTCAATTTGAAACTATGAACAGCTGTTGCAAAAGAAGAAACATTTGAAAGTCTCTACAAGAAACTTTACTTGTGTGAAAAATTGTAACACTTGGGTCTTTGAATCAAAATTACCTAATAATTCACATATATAACTCAGTTCGATGGAAAAACTATCTCATTAAAAAAAACCTGTCAAGTAATGGGTAGGGTTTTTATGACTGATTAACCATGCTACAGGAAAGGACAACTTCTTGAAACACTGTGGAGTAAATGGTGGAACTACCACAAGTTTTACTTCTGCTACATAGGTGAAGTGTTTTATTAAAACACCTGTGCTTCCAGGTGACATGACTGTTCCTTAGGTCTGAGAGATACTACATGTATTTGAAAGTCCACAATAACTTTGATACAGAAACTTATGTCCCATTAAACTTATGTTCTGTAGATTTTACTATAAACATCTGAAAAGTATATAAAAATTATACTCAGTGCAAGATAAAACAAGAATATGGGAAGAGGACTCTGGGAATATAGGTGTGCTTGGGCTGAAGAGTAGAGTGAATTACCACTGGATAGTGCTCATTAAAGCAGAAATCCAAAGGCAAGAGAGGTTTTAATAAAGAGGAATTAAAATATTTTCTACCAGGTGTCCAAGTCAGTATGGTTAATGTATTTTTGTAACTGGAATTACATTTGGTACAAAAGACTTTAAAACAAAACAAAACAAAAATCCAAACCTCTACACTTCCAGGATTCATTAGCTCTGTGAGACAGGGTCTATTTCTTGATCAATTTTGTATCCCTGGCACCAAACAGTATACTAATAGTGCCTATCATATGTCTACCTTTTCTGATTTGAAATAACCTTAAGTTCAATACAAAAATATATAGCAAGGTTTAAAATCAAGGGGATTTAATACCTGGTAGAATAAACATTACACTATGACAAAATGTACTTCTTAGTTATGTAATTTTAAAAATGTATAAAAGATCAATTTATATTTTACTTACTTGCTAGGATACACTACTGACACAGAAGACAAAACCAGTATTTGATTAGCACAATAAATAATACTGTCAGCTCCACAGAAAATAATGTACAAGGTCAGCTTTCTGAATAAAAACTTTTCAGATACTAAAAAGTAACTGTCGCAAGGGTTTAATATTTTCAACCACGTTCTTGTTAAGGTAATTTTAAGCAATATAAGCTTAAAAGTAAAGACTATAATTTTCAGATATTTAGAAAATGGTGTTAAGCCAGAAAAATTTTGTCCCTTTTTCAATCGTCCACACACTCTTCAAGTAAGACCTCTTAGGACTGGCACATGTCTCACTTCAGACTTAAACACAGTTTACACATGTTTACATAGACACGTAACAAACAACCTATGCATAAGGGACAGACTTCTAAAAAAACTAAGGGCACTGCTATGTTTTAAATACAGGGAATGCAGTAAACTGGGACTATAACTACACAGAGAAATAAAACTACAATTACTGTACCTTGGGAACGCTTTCGTTTAAGACCTGCCGCATCTGAACTCTCCTTATATCCTCTCCATTTGAAGAGAGAAGGGAGGGAGAAGGGAGGGAGGTGGTAGACAACTAAGAAAGCAAAAACACTGAGCTTCAAAGTAAATTTGAATGAGGCTTGCTGTTCTGGTTTTTTGTTCTAGCATTAACTAAAAAACTGAGTTGTATTTGACAAACATTATTCTAAATGCTTCGTTTATACACTAGCTGAAGTTCAGTAAAGCAAACATTAGCTTAATGTTTATCAAATATATGCTCTACTTTTACCAAAAGAAACAAAGACAAATACTTAAAAGGTTCAGTTATAGACAATTCTGTGATTGTCATTTATGTCTTTGAATAGACAGCATTAAAAATAGAACATGACATTTTTACATACTAAGGTTATTTACTTTCATCAAATTTGTAACTGTTATATAACCAAAAGATGTACACAAATTGAGAACACAATAAAACATTTTAAACATTTCAAGAAGCTTGTCTAAGAAGATACCACAGCATACATTCCACTGGATACTTTCTAATACTAGTACAGAAGGGTTGCCTTGAAGCTTTCCTCAGAATCAACATATTCTTCTCACATTTTTTATTTTATTTTTTTTGAGACAGAGTCTCACTATGCAGGGCAGGCTGGCCTTGAACTTGCTTATGGAGCCAAGGATGGCTTCAAACTCACGGCGATCCTCCTGCCTCAGCCTCCCAAGTGCTGGGCTCACAGGCATGTACCACCAGGCCCGAATCTTTTCACAACTTTATTCAAGTCATTGAAAGGTTTTCACAAACTAAACATACAAAATGAAATTAAATTGGAAGTTTTACTTTTAACTATCTTTTGGAAAGATTAGTGGTAGAATAATACAAAGGTCTTTAATAAAAATGTATATTGTGATATCTCGTAAGGGTAAAACAGACAACATAGAGGAAAGCCAGGCTTGATATCTAGCAAGTCAGCAGGTAACCTTAACATCAACATGGTCCTCGTTAAATTTTGCTAAAGCTATTTATTTATTTATTTATTTTATTTATTTATATCGGAGATTGAACTTGGGACCTTGTGCTTGCCAGGCAGATGCTTATGCCACTGAGCTATATCCCTGGCAATTTAATTGTATTTTAAACAAATTACTGTTTAAGTCCACTTGAAATTAAACCTTAAAAACCAACTTACTAATTCAATTAATAAATGTACTACAGAACTTATAGCAAACTTTGTTCTAGTATATTTGATTTTCTTCTTTAATCCCTTGTATATTTGACATTCAAAGATTAAATACTGCTTAAATGCAAAAATATTCCGGCTATATACTGTAACAAATCTGCTGTATATACACATGAAAGTATATGTAGAATTTGTGCAATGAAGATATTTAGAAGATGCTTATAAGGCAATACTAAGGAGGCTTGTATATCTAATAACTACACCTACATGCAGTTAGAATGCTACAAGAACTACAGGCAAAGGCTAAAAGCTGCATTGTTACATCAGGGTATAAAAAGACTTTAACGTCACAGAGACAGAAAACGACATTTGGAGCAGTTTTCCTCACTGAAATGTTTCTTCTTTCATGTGCCTTCTGGTCAGTTACTCAGGAGTACATGCACCATTTAGACCAGGAAACAGTTGAGGACAAAACACTCATTAGGAAAAGCTGCTAACACACCAAAGTAGATCAAACTGACATAAACTTGAGAATTTACTAGAGAGAAACAAAACCATGTAAAACTAACATGAGCCAAGTCCCAACTAATGGGAAAACAGGGACCACTCGACCACCTTTTAAAGTGATGCGCTGTCCAGGATCTTTGCGTGCACAGTCCCGAGTCTCCCTTCCATCTTGGTCTGAGACACTCCTTTCCTTGGCCACCTCTGCTGTTCACGTAATCGTAGAATTCTCTACTGCCGGCATGATTCCTGTGTGGCGCCTTTTCCTAAAGTCTATGTCTTTGATAAAGTTGTCATTCACATTTTGCACAGTTTGTATCAACTTTCTATCTTTGTTGCTTCTTTTATAATCACATTGGTCAATTTGTTAGTTCCACTACCTTTGGGATTAAGTCATTCTCGAGCTCGCTTTCTCTAATCCTTGCATGTAGCTCAGTATTTGGCATTTGATTTCCTCCTCACTGTTGCCCCCTGGATCTGCTTTGGAGAGCTGGGAGTTTCTGGAGGCACTTCGTTGCCTTGAGTCTTCATGTCCCCTGTGTGTGTGTGTGTGTGTGTGTGTGTGTGTGTGTGTAAGTGCACACAGATAAGGCTGAGGCCCAACACAGTAAAGAGTATAAAGAATCTGTTGTTGGTACACACGGTTCTTGAGCCAGGCCCTGCTTCCCAGTGAGGCGGGTTCAGCTGTGACAACAGGTACTGTCTAACCTGCATGCTACTTAGATTAACTGGGAGGGACCCAGTCACTGTGTTGTACACAGAATACTCCTGCTGGTCAGAACAGCAGCTACAGGTCCAACCCTCCATCGATCACAAACCTTAGAACTTGCTTTTTTATCAGTGCCCCTTACAGACTACATTTTACTGTTATAGATGGTGAGTCTGGGGTGTGGCAGAGAACTACTTTCAGCGCTGTCGTAAATAAAGGGCTAATGTGAAGGAGGCTCATGAGAGCATCTGCGCAGGTGCGGGGAGGGAGGCTTAGCTGAGGCTAGGGATGCTGTGAGGTTGCTGGAGCGCGTGTGGTCAGCGGTGACCCCCCTTCTGTTATGATTCACGGGCATGACCACACACGGTGCCATTCAAGTCAAGGCTCTGGTCTGTTCTTACTCTGCTGCACATGCACTCTATCTACAGTGCATGAAAGGTAGAGCAGCAGCGAGGGAAGACAGGGAAGCAAGTACAATGAGGAACAGGGACTATAAAATGAGGAAGAGGGCTGAGGAGACAGCTTAGCTTGGGGGCCTAAACGCCTACCTGGCGAGCGCAGGGACAAGGTTCAATCCCCGGCACCATATGCTGCGCTGGCCCTGGCCCTAGGCACGCTGAAGCGGCCACCAAGACCAAGTGTGGCAGCGCATGCCCGTAATCCCAGTGCTGAGGAGGGTGAGACAGGAGGATCACTATGAGTCTGAGCTGCATAGTGAGACTCTGTACCAAATCAATAAGTGAGTAAAAGATCAAAAATATTTTTTTAACGAGGAAGAATGAATAGAGGAAAGGTGTTAAGAAAAAAAGACCAAGAGAAAAAAGGAAAAAAAAATTAGACAATGAACCTGCCAGCTGGAGGGTGGTTTGGCTCGGCTGTGTGGTTGGCTACCATCCCCTCTGCTCCCCCTTGCACCCCCACAGACTGGGAGAGTTTGCTCCGGTGTCCTCATCAAATTGCCACTCTCCACTTCAACATGATGCGGCCAGGTCAGCAGAGAGCCCCTCCTGCCCTCCTGCTACTCCAGAGGAACTTGCCCTTCTGAAGAAGGGTGTACAAGAGGGACCTGGGCCCCAGGTATGCATACCCAACGCCCATTGCGAGCCTTCAGCCCTGCCCAGCCCTTGTGGAGACAG